AATAAATAACATCATGATAAACAGAAAAAAATCCTGAAGTTGTGAAAGATTTCATTTTGCTTAGATCTACAGCCAATGCTCATAGATGGTAGGTAGCAGTCAGGAAATCAAAAGACGTAATTGCATTAGACAAATCTGCTGCACAAGTTCTCCTTAAAGTGCTGAAAAGCAAAGCTGTCGGGACTAAGGTGCACCTGACCCACACCATGGTATTTTCAAAATGGCCTCATATGCATGTGAAAGTTGGACAGTGAATGAGGAAGCCTGAAGAAGGATCTATGCATTTTTATTGTAGTGTTGGCAAAGACTAGGCAAAGAGTTGGCATTCTCAAAGGAGTTCTGGTAACATAGTGGGTTACATATGGGCTGCTAACCACAAGGCCAGCAGTTCAAATCCACCAGCTGCTTCTTATAAGAACGATGAGGCTTACTACTCCCATAAAGATTTATAGCCCCAGAAACCCTATACCAGGTCTTTATGAGTCAGAATCCACTCAACAGTGACAACCACAACCACCACCAGGCATTCTTATACCTTGCCTAGGTCAATGTGATGGCTCAGCAGCAGATGTGTGGTCCAGTCAGGAGCCCCAAGATGCAAAGAGGCAGTTGTTTAGATGATTGAGAGGCAGGCACACACTCTTCTCAGAAGATGTAAGTACTACTCAAATAATTACAAATAGATTCAACTGTGCCTGTAATCTAAATTACTTCTATATAGAGATATATAAGTCGTTTGAACTGCAAGGTCGACAGTTCAAGCTCACCAACAGCTCCTCGGAAACCCTATACAGGGTTGCTATGGGTCGGAACTGATTCGACGGCACTTAACAACTACAACATATATGTTATTTGGTAAATGTCGTTAAGCCATTCTGGCTTATAGCAATCCTATATAGGGCTTCTGAGGAGTGACTGGTGAGTCTGAATAGCCAACCTTGTGGTTCAAACCGAGCATAAGGTACAGTGCTTTATCCCACAGTGCCACAACAGGACTCCATATATACCACAATTGGATAGCTGTAACAAACAGAAATGTATCTTCACAGTGTGTTGTTGTTGTTGTTAAGTGCCGTCAAGTTAGTTCTGACCCACAGTGGCCCTGTATAGGGTTTCCAAAGAGTCATTTAGGAAGTCCAAATCCAGCTCAAGGGTGGGGGCGGGCTTTCTCTTTTCTTGGCTCTGGGGAAAGGTTCTGTCCCCTTTCAGCCTCTGTAGGCTAAGCATTCCTTGGAGATCTCCCTCAATCTTCCCCTGGATCTAGGAACTTTACTGTGTAAGGCCCCAGGTCCAAAGTACACACTCTATCCCTCACTATTCTTTCTTAGCAGTAGGTCCCCCATTCTCTACTTATTTTTCTCTCCTTTTATCTTTGTAAGATAAAAGATGTTGTAGGCCACACCCCTGGGAAACTCCTTTACATAGAATCAAGGTTGTAAGGGGCTTAAGGGTGCCACAGCCCATCCTTAATCATCTTATTGGTTTGTCACATTAGATCACATCATGGGGATTCATCACATAGCTGCCACATTATACTGTCTCATACCAGCCAAACCACTGAGAATCATGGTCCAACCAAGCTGACGCATATTTTAGGGGAAAGGATGGGGGATACAACCCATGACAGAAACAATATTATTTTATAATTTTAATTCAGAGAATTAGCAATCTTTTCAAATAAATTGATGAAAACTCCTCTGAGACTATATAGAAATATTTTCAATAAAAATAGATTACATGTGTTTACTATTACTTTTTTATATATAGTATTTTACTAAAATATTCTTAAATATCTGATTTACATTTGTATATAAAGATATATTTAACTATAAAAGTATAAGCAGGATTTATTTCAAAAAGTCTGTAGGCCATTTTATGTCAGTTTACTCTTCTTTGGCTCATCCACGGTTTTAACTGTTTTCACCCTCTGGAAGGCTCCTCCTCGAATAGGAAGTTTTTTAAGAGCAATATCCGTGTCAGCCAGAGGCCCTCCTATTACTCGGGCAGGTGTGCTTTCGACTGTTACTACCCGACCAGAGGCAACCTAAAACAGCAAAAGGTAAATATTGAAAAGTCCATTTCAGTTTATAAAAAGCAAACTCATTCCATCCTTTACCGTATGCAGCCTGACATGATGCAGGGATGAGGCGATTTGGAGCCAGCAAAAGACGGTGTAATTCTACATCTACTGCTCATCAGCTTTGCAGCTTGGGGCAAATATGTCCAGAAGAGGGCACTAGGAGTACTGGACTATGGCAGGGATATATTTTTGCCAGGCACAAAAGGCACACATATTGCTATTAAGCTTGTGTAAATATATATTCTGATTAATGCTTATCAGACTTTCTTGGGCCTCCTGGGGAGCTAGGTCTAGGCTGAGGGTGGATGTACATTAAAGAGTAAATGCTTCAGCGATGTGAATTTGAATGGTGAAAAGAAAAAAAATTAACATGAGATGAAAACTCTACAGAAAGAACATTGTTTGTGGACTAAATTGATTATCTATTGATAAGAGTTATGCAGAAAAAAAAATCTTACCGTTGCATTAAGGCCTTTAATATCTGTCCGATGAAATATTACATTTTGTGATCGCTCATTGGGTCTAGAGGATTCTATAGCCTTTTCCTGAAGCCTTTTTGCTTTCTGAAGATTTTAAATTAGGGAGAAAATAAGATTAATTTCTAGTAAAGCATTAACTATGGTACTAATAGTAACATATACAAAATACATTTAAATTATATCTGATTTATGGGACTGTTTACTAATTAGTTCCAGAATTTGCTCTTACTTATGTATGTGATTAGTATGCTATGTCATTTGTGCACTGAAGAATATACCACTCACCTGGAAATGTTACTCAGATTTTCAGTGGTGCCAGTTATATATGACCAAAGAGTAAGACAGGTATTAATTAGGTTTACTTTTTAGCACACTTTACAAAACTTTAAAATGACATCAAACCCACTGCCATCAAATTGATTACAACTCACAGAAACCCTATAGGCAGAGAAGAACTTCTCCTTAGGGTTCTGAGACTGTAAATCTTTATGGGAACAGACAATTGCATCTTTCTTGTGGCTTAGGAAGCTAGAAGTTCAAATTCAGGGGGCTGGCTTTAGGGGAAAGCATTTTCTCTCTGTTAGTTCTGAAGAAAGGTCTCTTTAGCTTCTGCTTTCTAGTTCCTTAAAGATCTCTGTCTGGGCATCTATCTTCCCCATCTCTCCTCATTGGCTGGCTTGGTTAATCTCTTTTATACCTCCAAAAACAGCCTACACTAATCCTGCTGCATTTGCATAACACAGACAATTCATTCCCAGATGGGATTATAACCACAGGTATAGATGCTAGGATTTACAACACATATTTTGTTCTAAACAATAAAAACCATAATTCACACATTGCTAGTTTGTCCTTGGTGATGTTGATATTGATCACTTAGTGATAGTGGTATCCACCAGATTTCTTCTCTACAAATGTTCCATTTTAAACCTTTGTGATTCATACTATGTGGGATAACACCTTGAGACTGTAATATCCTATTGCACAACAAGGTGTCACTAGAGGACTAGTGTTTTTGTAGTATTACTGGGTTCTGAGGATATTTTGTAGCTAAAGTTGGGAAGACCTCTTAATGAAAAGGTATATATAGAGAGAGAACCTGGAGTTGATTTTGTTAATTTTTGTTTTGTTATCTTAATATGGTTTCATTATTGTGGGGGGACTATCTTAACATTTAACAATTTCATATCTACAGGAAGAATTGTGACATTGGGTAAAAGTGTATCCAAAATATTAATGAAAATGGAAAAAGTAATGAGATTATGGAAACCTATGGTGCTTTCCACATATTTCATATGAACAGTTAAGATTACAGCCTTTTTAGATTAGTATTTAGTTTATAACTGAAGCAGCTCATTACATTTTTCAAATGTGACATTTATGCAAAAGAGATTTGAGATATATTAGCGTAGTGGTTACGAATTGGGCTGCGAACCTCAGGGTCAGCAGTTCAAAATCACCAGCTGTTCCGTGGGAGAAAGATGAGGCTTTCTGCTCCCGTAAAGATTTACAGCCTTGGAAACCCTGTACAGGGTCGCTATGAGTCGGAACTGACTCCACGGCACATAACAACAAAAAGGAGAAAAGCCCATGGGGTAAGGGTAATAAGCATAGGGTTTTTCAATGAATTGTTTTTGGTAAGTGCCTTTGAGTCAGTTCTGATTCATAGCGACCCTGTACCTAGGGTGTCTGAGGAGCAGCTGGTGGATTTGAACCACCGACCTTGTAGTTAGCAGTCCAGTGCTACACCAGAACTCCAAATCAATAAATGAGAAGCTTTGAAGTGCTGATTCTTTATTAACTATTAGGTATTTTTAAATACAGATCAGGAATACCACTTTTAAACTACAGTTCTCAATGTTAAACCAAATGAAACTCTGAGTAGCACTATTAGTAACTGTAAAAATGTGTAGTTTCAGCTATTTTGACGAGCACATAAGGATTTAATAATAGTGTTAGTAATCTGCAGAAAGATTGCTGAAAAAATATGAATGAAAAATAATTCCTGAAAATGTCTGTCTCCAAATAGGGTTATTTTTAGTGGGTATTGTAATACGTTAAAAAAAAAAAAAAATTTTTTTTTTACCTTTAAATTTTTAGCATTTGATGTTCTGGCCAAGAAATTTTCCCATGACTTATTAGCCAATTCTCTTTGCTTGTGTGTGGCTTGTATCTGAAATGAGAGAGATAAATTAAGAGTTTCAGTTTCTATGAGATGATACCAAAATCTTAAAAGTCCTTATTTTGAAGGAAGCTCCTAAATTTTTAAAATTATTATTATTGGTTTATTTTTAATTTTAGTTTGAGTGAAAGTTTATAGAGCAATTTGTTTTTCCATTTAACAATGAATATACATGTTGTTTAATGACAGTAGTGGTAAACCCCTCAATGTAACAGCATCCTTCCCACTTCCTCCCCCTGGGGTCCCATTTTTATTCATCTCCCTCCTCCCTCATCCTCCTGTTTTCTGAGCTTTGTTATTGCCTTGAGCTTCCTCCTGTTGATTGTGCTGAAGAGTAAATTTCTTGCTGGTATTATTATTCACTTTTTAGGCCTGTCTAGTGTTTGGCTGAAAGTTGCTTGCTGGGGGTGGGTTCAGTTCAGAAGACGCTCCTAAGGGCTACAATCTCAGGGGTTCCACCAATCTTTATCAGACCTGGCTGCTGGCTGTGTGCCCTGGAGTCGGTTACTGACTCATAGCGACCCTGTACAGGGTTTCCAAGGCTGTAAATCTTTACGGGAGCAGAAAGCGTCATCTTTCTCCCACAGAATAGCTGGTAGTTTCAAACTGCTGACCTTGTGGTTTGCAGCCCGATTTGTAACCACTATGCTACCAGAGCTCATTTTATCAGACCAGTCTAGTCTTTTTATGATTTTGAATTTTGCTGTATGTTTTTTTTCCCTCTCCCACTCTGTCCAGGACCTTCTACTGTGATCCTGATCACAGTGGTTGGTAGTGGTAGCCAGGCATCATCTAGTTCTTCTGGTCTCGAGGTAGTGGAGGCTGTGGTTCACATGGTCCACTCGTCTTTTGCACTAATCACTTCCATGAGTCTTTGGTTCTCCTCATTCTTCTTTGCTCCAGATGAAGGGAGACCAATAGTTGCATATTAGAAGCCCACTCACAAGCTTTTAAGGCACCAGTTACTCAACAAAGCAGGATGTAGAACATTGTCTCTGTGGACTATGGTTTACCAGTTGACCTATTACGTCCCCTGAGAATGTGGCCCTAAAGTCCTTGAGCCCAGTGAGTCAGTCTTTCATCGTGTTTGGTTATGACTAAGGAGACCTGGTGTGGCACTGCAGGATAAGCACTGGACTGCTAACTGAAAGGTTGTCAGTTCAAACCCAC